AAGTCAGACCGTAAAGCCTTTTTTCTACCAAGTTTAAAGTAATCGTCATGAAATGAGTGGTTCCTAAATAGTCGTCGGCTGAGAATGTTTCAATATTCAACAATTATTACTTAACAGAAATAGTAGCGTTGAGTTGATACCTCATCCAACTAAATATTGCATGTGTAATTTATTCATCCCAAATTCACCTGATTGAAGATGGTTTTACCGCAATTAAATTAATTATATTTTCTGAAGTTGGGTCATTATATATACAGGTACATGTATATTCTCTATAATTTCTATGTATTTTAGAAATTGTGCCCAAATCTTTTATAAAACTTTTTTCATTTTCTCTTAATACGAGTTTATTATCATGGGACACAGCTTGAAACACTTTACTCCACTGTTATAGTAACTGAAATCCTGTTTAGCTGAGGTCATTATAGTTTATTACGATCAAAAATCAGGAAATAAGGACTCGAAAATTGTTCATAATTCACGAAAATAATAAAATACCATGAGTCATGTGAACTGTGGAGAATTTTAATTGAAAATAGTAATGCGGCTTTGATGTCGAACCTTTGTTTATTAAACTGTGTCAGTGTACAGGAAAAGTTATAACGTATTAAATTCTGAGTTGGATCAATCATGACCCAAATGTAACCATCCAGTGTTCAGTTTATAAGTCGTAATAAACTATTGTTGCATGTGAATAGTGTGGCTTACCTATGGGTGCTGTGCATAGAACTTTGTTTAATAGTCATCCCAAAAGATTTTATTGCTATCGTATAATTTTGCCAACCCATTATATATGAATGACACTTAATTATTCCTTGTGTAGAAAATAACATGCTATCAACATAGAATATGCAGATGACGGCATTCGCCTGACCGGCTGAAGATAATTCGCTGTATTGTTTTCAGATTAATTTCAGACAACAAACAAGTTCGACCTGCGGTGACCATACTGAAATAAAAACGTTCGATTTCCCAAAAATTCATAAAGACTTTAAATAAATGCAGTCACTGAGCGAAAAAGTTAAATTGTTTGTTTGTGGCAGAGAAAACTGTAAGAATCGAAAGTTATAACTAATACCATCAAATATGAGAGATTGAAGTTAGGGCGTAAAGATCTAATGGTAAACTGAGAGTAGGAATCCACAAATAAAAACTGCAGGGTAAAGGAGATATCAAATGATTGAAAATGAATGAAAGACTAAAAGGAGCGAAATGTAAGGTAGAATTGAGGGATGGGGGAAGGAGAATTAGGGCCGGAAGCGCATCAGTTTAACGGCCTGCATAACGGGCTCGACAGCAGTCCGCCTTTTAGTGGTTGGACGAAGGGGTCGAAAACCCATGAAATCAACTTTAAAAGCTGCCATGAGCTGCGTCTAGATACTGCAAGAGATTTTAGGAGTAGTATGAAATATCATGGCTATTTCGGATTTGAAATAATTCACGTAAGATTTTAGAACAATAGATTGCCACTAGGATTGTCAGATTGCTAGGATTGATACTAGGATTGTCAGATTGCCTAAAAAATGTCCAAGTCCGCGGACACAAAAGGCCTGGAATTCAATATTTATTAGTGAATTTTTAGGTTCCGGTGCAAAATTAAATTTTCCTTGTTTTTCACGTTCATTAAAATTTATTAAGGAAGTACCGCCATCACGAATTTAGCCGGCCAACGCAATTCAATAAAAAAACAAATCGCGGAATTTGTCCGGAAACCTGCCTTCTGGCAACCCTGATAAATATTTATTGACTTTTGATCGTGATCGACAATATTTCAATGAAAATTTTCTTTTACTTGCAAGGGGATGAGTCTTCTTGTGATACTTTATCGGTAAACAAAAACCGGTTATTAAAAATGAAATCCAATTAGGGACGATGATGTTACTGACAAGCGTACAGAAAAATCAGCATGACGACAAAATCTGACATTTTTCTAGCGCTGAAATGGTGTACAAAACTACAATAATGAATGTTTTTTCGCAATACTTATTCCTAATTGAAGAACGTGGAGACACAAAAGGACGCAGTCATTTCTGTTAATGAACAATATAGTTTTTTTCAAAAGGAAGCAAGATACATCAGTCTAATGAGAAGAGAGCTAGAGGCTTCTAGATACGTGAATTATACATGACATAAATATAGAAAAATAGTAAACTTTTTCACATGAACTCGTCAAAATATAGTGTAACTGGAGCCATTTGATTTGAATGAACATTGCTTACATTTTTAAGTACATGCACCACTGCAGAAATATCGACCCATATTTTGTTCCTATAAGATTATATATTTAATTTACCGTCAACACATAGAACGCGTTTAGTTTCTTATTGCTTCTTCCTTTATTAATGTTATATAGCGCTTCTGTCTCGGTTCATTGGTCTTCGTAAAAAAATGTTTTAATACTTTGATTGCTCATGCTACTCTTCATCCTGGTACACTCGCTTGTTTTCTCTAATATTTTCCCTTTCGAGGGACGACCCTCGGGGTGAAATATAATTAATAGTATAGTAAATATTCATAACAGTTTTTTCCTTATTCGTACAGAGTATGAGTAAAGAATTTTGATCAACTTCTAGCTCACTACTACAACCAATTTAGCTTTTCAGTAGTCGCTTACAGTTTTCGAGAGTACGAATAAATAATTTTGATCAATTTCTAGCTCCAATCTTCAACCAATTTACCTTTTCAGCAGTCGCGTACACTCCTCCATCCTCCCCACAAACGTCTCCTTCAAACCACTCGCCCCAACGCACCTGCTGAGGGTTGTCGTGTCGCAGCGAGGTTTCCCCTCAATTCCCCTCCATCGAGGAAATGTCTACAGCCTCGAGCATCCCTCCTGTGCTCCTGATAAACGACCAATGAAAAAAAGACCATTTCCTTTTATTTTCTCGCCGGTGAACACTCTTGAATAACATAATTTCCTGTGGCGCTGCATACCTGAGAATTTATTGCGTTATTTTACACCCTCCTCGGCTGTTTGGAAGACGAGATGTGTAATACGAGAAATTTATGATTCACTGTTGTGATGTAACCCTTAGAGCATCCGTGAATTTATCATACATAAAATTTGCTGTCGTAGCAACTGTATTAGCGATCCAACATCATGAATATATCATGCATAAAATTTACTGCCATTGAAACTGTACTAGCGATCCAACTTATCCAACTTACGTAAACAGCTTTACTTCAATTTAATATTAACAATTTGTGCCCGTAGCTTCATATCCGACAGCTTTTCTTTATGCTGCGGCTTCATTCACATGCAGCAGCTGTTCAGTTTGCAACAGCTGTTCCATCCACAACAGCTGTTTCATCTGCAGTTTAGGCGACCGGCATGCACCTGCATAATCAACTGCTACACGCAACTGCAGCTGCTATCGCTGGACGCTCTGCCACAAATTCCAGCTCGAAAATTTTGGCTCACAGTATGGAACTCAAAAAACAATTTAAATTGGCGAGGGAAAATGACCCGCTCTGGCAAAATATTCAATTTAGAAAGCAACGAAAAGATTAATGTTTCGAAATAAATTTGATGGGAATTGACCGTAAAATTGGATTTACAAATTTCAAATTTTAGACTACATAAAAGAGGGACCAACGAACATGACTGCCTATATACGAATATGATAATGACGGATAAACAATGCCCAGGAATTACAATTAATCCTCAAAACCGAAATGTAATTTAATAAAGAATGTACATTTTGTAGCTTCAAACATGGCATGGATTATATTGCATCAATTTTATATGCAAAGTTCGAGAATAATTTGCTATGCCAGTTGCCATTTACGAATAAATCATCATTAGCCTATTAAAATTGAATGACAGCTGATACTTACGTGTTAAATAAATCATAATAAATCTACTGATATATACGTGGATTGTTTAGTCAGAGTTTTCAGTTCGTGTATTTTATGTTCTTCGTGTTAACATGACCAGTAATATTTAAATAAAATCTATTTACATTAATTTTACACGACCATGAACGAGATTTATATATTGTTGAACATGCCAATATATACAGAATTTATGTGCTATGAATTACTTGGATATTCTATATTTTTGTTCATTTTGTCCAGCCGTAGCTCATTGCTTGACTTATAATTGTAGACAATAATGATTTAGAACATGTAATTCAGCCATGTAGCCGAAATGCTTCTTAATTATTAAAAAACAGATTGCAAACCTGTCGAACGGATAGAACTTTGAATCATGTTAACATAAAAATTTGAAGTAAAGACGAACTCGAAACTTATTCGCAGACAACTACCATTCTTATTCAATGGCATTAACGATTTCATGATCAGCCCTATATGGATAATATTTCGATGGATTTCAAATTTTACCCTCTAACATAATGGCCAATTCTGTAGATCTGGTTCATTCATAGCCAATGTCTTAGACATGATTGAGACGTTTTGTATCAAAAAAGTATTCCTGTGCGTTTTTTGGTTCAATTTGTTATATCAGATATCCAATGTTTTTTAGTCAACAATTGAAGACATTCATTATTAGACTTTTTTTGCCAGTGCTTTTTTTTCAATATCAAAACACTAAATATTTTTTCTCTCGACGCGACTTTCTCTGATCTATTCAAGTTCATCCCACTATGCTGAAATTAAATATTCATGTTTCAACATTACTGATTCAAAATTCCCCCAACGTAATTGTTTCTCTCTTTCGCATAACGCATGATCTGTCGCAATTATTTTGGTCAATTTCGTTGATCAATATTTTGATCAACGATCAATTTTTTTTCCTATCAGAAAATGAATTGATCGTTATATTTATGTTTTTTACATCCAGACGTATCGACATATTCGTACATATATTTCTTACAAGCCTTTTTTCGTTACCTAACCTAATACTGTCTTTTTTCATTCAAATTTCGCTCAATTTCAACCGGTAAATTTACAGAACATATTTCTTCGAAGAGAAAATTTGTGGACGACAATGCAGGGTCGGAGAACGTGAGAACTGAAAGGAGATCGCCTCGCTGAGAATGGCTGTCACAGACAGACCCTCGAAGGACAGGGTCGACCGAGTGTCCTCTTCAGAGGACAACAACAATGCCCACCTTCCAACGACAACAATAATGCCAAGTATTCCAGACCAAAGAATTTCTTCACGGTCTTGTTCGCCATGTTTGTCATACCTGGCAAAGGAGTTATTTCAATCCTGAAAACGAATGGGCTTACCAGTCTCAACTGTAAGAGGGTGTATTGAGATCGCAATACGAATAGGCGAAGTATCAGTAATGACTTATCTACATCAAACAACTGTCAGTATGTTCGGAAATGGAAATTACAGGGTTTGAATTATCTAAAATCCGAGGTACAGAATCAGGTTAGAACTTGCGAATGCGTAATTTGATATTAACGGCAAATGCTCGCGCTACTCTATAAAAATAGGGCATCGGAAATACAATTAATTCAACATAGACTTCACCATATACCATATTTTTAATTATCCGCTTTCCTCTGTTACTAAAGACTGTAGAATAATATGTGTTTTAAAATTACTTTTTAAAGACAACCCTTCTGAAGAATCTGGTGTCTTGGATGTTACACAAGTACAATGAATTTCAAAATTTGGTAAATTTTCAAAATGATTTTTTCTGTCAACTGATTCATGCATTGTCTCCAACTTTATGCACGTGTGCCAAATTTTAGATCGATTGGACAGGGGACAGGTAGAAGTGTGTTAAATATCGATTATAAGATTTGTAGCAGACAGACAGACAGACAAACAAACAACAAGAAGTGAAGTTAAGGAGAAGTGTTGTAAAGTGTTGTAAAAAGGAAAAAATACCGTGAAGACTAAAGACTTGAGCAAAATTAATGTGAATGGTTTTAATCAAGCAATAATTTCGAACTAATGTCAATTCATCACCTAAAACTGGAGAACAAGACTTAAGCATCTATGATTACACCGGAAAGAAGAAGCCCATGCTTTCTGTTTTGATAACTGGCACAATATTAGATGGAAATACCAAATATTCCGCGACTGCCTTTCTAAAACACTTCAAGAAGAACATGCAAGAATCAAAACTCAATGAGTGGCTCGATGATTCAAAACTAAATTAATTTTCGAATTTAACAAATTTTAGAGAATTTCGTCACCTGAGCGTGTTCTGTTTAAATGCTGAGATCCGAAGTCTGTTAACAGGCAGGCTAGAATCCGTATTCTGGCACGGCATAATTATTAATCATAATTCACGGCATACTTATTAATCATAATTATTAATTAATAATTTTGATCCGATTATAATTTGACTGTCCATGCACTGTCGAGTCAGCCTATCTCGAGAATGAGAAGTCGTTTATCGGACTAGAATCTTGATTTTGAGTAACTAGCTGATATTCTGACTTTCTCGCTCCAGTTTTGAGCCAGCGCGTGATGATTCAGTGTCATTTTCCGACAATCCTGCTTCGTATTCTAAAGATTCTGTGCCGTATTCCGACGATCCTGCGTCGGATACTGCCATCGGGGTGTTTGGCGGCCATTAAAAGTTAATTGCGTTCAAGAGACGCGCGCTTTAGCGTAGAATTCCATTAGGGTTTTTCCACGCTATCAAACTTGACGATGTTAACATCAATAAAGTCTCATGCCTTTTACTTGTGAATATTTTGTCAGAGGCGCTTTAATCTTCCAGCTTCGCAAGCCACAATGCTCGAGCGATCGTGTGGTGAACCTAGGACGGTTTACCGATGGCCAGCGAATGGCCATCGAGCGGCCGTTGATGAACACGATATTTTTTTCGTGGTGGAGTGTCATTTTAATCTGTTTCGATCTTCAAAGAAGCGATGACATGTTTACGGAACAACGAGGAACTTGTTCACGTCCCAGGCGCTACATATCTTTTTTTTTTTTTTTGCCACGATGTGCTGGGGGAATTTTTCAATTCAGACTTTTAGAATTGATGTTATGCATGGACGTAGAACAAAATTGTAATAAAAATATGGACTGTCATCATTTTTGAAGTATATCCCACTGACTATTCCTGAATTATTTAATAGTTGCTGGCAGATAAATAAATTACGCAATTAAAATTTCTGAATAATCAAGTAAATAAAAAATCAATATCCATGTAACATGGCTACGTCAGTTAGTAAAAAATTATCTATAAACTGAGAAAGAGATGATGTCATCTTGTTCGCATAAATTTTCGTTCTGTACTTTTTCTGTGGAAGTTGAAGAATAAAGGGATTGAAATTTTACTTGGTTGAAGAGAGCTGTGCCAAAATAATTTACAGGATTATCATACAATCTAACATTATTTAACCAAAACCTTCACACTTTGATTAATCTGAAGCTGAGAGTGACTTTTGACGGACACGAATTAAAATTTTATTGGTATTTTTTTCAAGTTTTGGAGTTCAGGAATAGCAACAATTGTTCTTTCCAACAACCCGTGCGTCGTTTCATTTCAGATACCAGCACCCGAGGAGAAATATTATAGAATTCTAAAAAACTTCCAAAAATACGAGCCATAAAATCGTCATTTTGCTCTAGGTTTCTCCGCACATTTGGCGAATTCCGACGAGTCCTTGAAAGAAAATGAGATATTTTCCGAGTCATTGGGCAAGCCTTCACAAAACTGCGCCCAACCGGAGAACTGCTTACGCCTCACCCTCGCCCCATCTTCGCTGCACCGACACCCTTTACATCCCACCGACGAGGCCCGACGCAACCACCACCCCAATGTTACCCCACCGACGAGGACCGACGCTACCACCACCCCAATGTCACCCCACCGACGAGGACCGACGCTACCACCACCCCAATGTCACCCCACCGACGAGGCCCGACGCTACCTACGTCCCAATGTCACCCCACCGACGAGGCCCGACGCTACGTACGCCCCAATGTCACCCCACCGACGAGGCCCGACGCTACCTGCGCCCCAATGTCACCCCACCGACGAGGCCCGACTCTACCACCTCCCCAATGCCACCCCTCCGAAAGGCCCGACGCTGCCACCACCCCAATGTCACCCCACCGACGAGTCCCGACGCTACCACCACCCCAATGTCACCCCACCGATGAGGCCCGACGCTGCCACCACCCCAATGTCACCCCACCGACGAGGCCCGACGCTACGCGTGCCCCATGTCACCCCACTTGCGGGGCCCGCCGCTGTGAGGACCCCAATATGTCACCCCACCGACGCCCACAGACGCTGCGTCCCCCACTTGACGCGAGTTGACGGAACAACAGAAATGAGGACGAGAGTTTGCTCATGGAATGGAAGGTGGGCTGAATAATGGAGCTGGAAGCAAGAGCACGACACAGGGTGGCCGAGAAAGTAAGAAAGAATTTAACTGTATTAAATAAATTAAATAAAAAACTAGAGGGCGACTGAGAAATGACGGGGTGGAAGAGACGAATTAACTCATCATCCATGAATCAACTCATCATTCACTCTGGCAAGAAAATAGTATCAAGGTTATGAATTGGTACTTGACACTTCTAACAAGTGACCTATTACATTCACATACTCTTTGTTAACAAATAAGGAAACATGATGTTGTATAAGGCAAACGCACTCAATATACGGAACGTGACATAATTGTGGATGGGAGCTGAAGTCTGGACTGCTCTTAGTCTGGTCCAGTATGATAATGCAGTGAGACAAGACAAAGATTATTCAAGTCCGTATATTGAAGAAAAATCCTTCCTTAATTTGCAATTGCACATTACGGTGGTTATTCTTTTTACGTACCTAGAGACCAAAATTTAGCACAAAAAATTGGGACTTACGCGAGGAGATCCTAATTGAACGATGATGGAAGAAAAATAGGAAGATGAGCGAGTCAGAAAGACGCTACTGTCTTAAAGCTGTTGCCATTCCAGAGCCCTAAATCGAATTGCGCTCGAATTTTTATCAGAAGTGAATAACAATAATTCCAAAGTTTGCAGTGGCCAACGAGTATTTATTTACAAATCAATCGCTAAGGACATATATAAACAACTTTTTTTATGAATACGAGCGGAATTTATTTGCTTTCTGTGCATCCTAATCGGTACCAAATTTCGTATATAATTTTGACTTCGTATTTTTTTTCGTTCGAACTCAAATGATCACAAAAAAACTTGTCTTGGAAATAGGCTGTTTGTTGTTGCATGTGTTGTAAAAAGGTTCCTGATGAATGATGATGAAGTGAGAAATTTTTAAATTACTCGTTTGATCTCCCCGGTACCGAAAAGAATTTCCTGTTTTTTTATTATTTCGAGATAAAAAAAATAGTATCAAGCCAACTTGGCCTATTCTTCAAGTCGATGATGGCAGGCAGTTTCAGGTTTTTATCAGTCATCACTCTGGTGATCGTTTCTCATAGTATACCCTCTTAAAATTATCGTTTTCTAAGTATACTCCAACAAAGAATATTTTGTCATATACAATAATAATTTGACTCTGAACTCAACTGTAGTCATTTTTATTCAGGAGCATTAATGGTCAGTGAATCTCGATACAATTAAGTGATTTTAGCAGAATTTTATTATATCAAAATATGGGACAACGCAATCCCCTAAACTACATTCGTCATCCATGTTTGACTCCTAACTTGCGGCAAAACGGAAAACATGTCATCGTTGACGCTCCGAGTAAGAACGCCTTCATGAACAGACTAGACGAAGCTATGCAGGAGCATATGTTCAGTCTTAATTAAAATACCTAGCACCTTACGGACCAGGCAATAAGTCCAGCAGCTATCTCAATCAATCGTCAGCTATGGAAAGATCGGGTTCCAATTGCCGGATCCCTTGTGAATCAAGTCACGAAAAATTCAAGAATCGGCAACAGGCCATGGGCCTATTTCTTCAACGCCGACACTTCTATTCTATGAGAAAAATAAAGGTAAACTAAGTAGGGAATACACAATTCTGTCCAAATTCAGAGAAAGTTTTTTGACAGCATTACCCGAAAAGAGGTAATTAAAAAATTAAAGTTGGATGTTAAGACATTATTGTTCTTACAGCATTGTGCAGAATACAATGGCAGGCAGGCAGAATACAATGGAATGATTGAAAACTCACCAGGAAATTCAAATGACCATCCACACCAAATAAAGATATTAATATGTCTTTATGTAAATTGGCATTACCTATTCGGCAGACATTTAGGATTTATGCAAATTCAGATGCCATTAATTGAAGGTAATGTACTCAAATGGATCAGAGATTTTCTAGTAGGGAGGCGACAACGTGTCAGTATTAATGGGTCCGTATCAGACTGGGCTTCAGTGCGCAGCGGCGTGCCATAAGGAAGTGTTCTCGGGCCTATTCTATTCGTTGCGTTTATAAACGATCTGCCAGAAGCTGTGTCTAGCGTTTGCTCGATGTATGCTGACGACACAAAAATTTATAATACAGTGAATACGTCGCAAAGAATACAGTTGCAAGGTGATCTTGACAGGCTGGTTGACTGGGCTGATAAGTGGCAGCTGCGTTTTAACGCTGACAAATGTAAAGTTATCCACCTTGGCATTAATAATGAACAGCAAGATTACAGTATGAGAAGACACGGTTGCAACGACAGAGTGATGATGTCGAAGTCGACAACGGAAAAGGATTTACGAGTTAATATCGACAATGAGTTGAAATTTTCTAAGCATATTTAAGGTCAAGTTAATAAAGCCAATAAACGACTTGGACTGATCAGACGCTCTTTCGAGTTCATAGATGCAGAAACAATGAAGCAGTTGTTTGTTGCTGTCGTGCGCCCGAACCTAGAGTTTGGAAACGTCGTGTAGTCACCGAAATTTGAAAAGGACAAAAATTTAGTAGAGAGTGTTCAAAGACGCGCAACAAGGATAGTTCCGGGCTTGAAAGGCAAGTCCTATGAGGAAAGATTAAAGATTATGAAGCTTCCAAGCCTCCTGGAGCATATGTTCAGTCTTAAAATGCCTAGCAAATTACGGACCAGGCAATAAGTCCAGCAGCTATCTCAATCAATCGTCAGCTATGGAAAGATCGGGTTCCAAAGGCCGGATCCCTTGTGAATCAAGTCATGAAAAGTTCAAGAATCGGCAACAGGCCATGGGCCTATTTCTTCAACGCCGACAATTCTATTCTATTAAAAAGGCTTCTTGCGAAGAAACTGATCGTTCAATTTAACACATGTAGGCTTGGTACTAATCATTACATTTCTTCCTTCTTCATTGCATTGATTGGCTTCAGCTCACAGACCGTGAAGCTTGCAGCGGATGTAGCACTATGGCGTGGAATTTGCTTACTCAGATATCAACTTATACGTAACGTACGTCTGGTTGCTGCAGTTCGTCTGGTGGCTGACGATCCTATAGACGTTCGTAGCAACACTTGACTTACTCATAGACGAGAAAGCATAGGTATGCTGTTGGTACTGAACGATTTAATATGTGCTCACTCACACGCATTAGAATTAATTTGCAGGTTTAATATTAAAACGATATCACGCATCGAAAGAAATTCCACGGAAACCCATAATTTAACCGATATCTTTACTGGACGATATTCACTCCGTGGGAGCCCTTAATTATCAATCACATGATTTGCCCTTAGAGTGCTTGCTCAATTGATGCCTATTCAATTAACTATAGACATCATGAAAAATCGAGCATTTCTCATCGTTGAGGATTATCCAGTTTGTACCGGCAAGTCTCAGGAAACAGATTCACAATACTTGAATATAGTGGTCAAGATTCGTCTTAGAATTAGCAAATAGAAAAAGGAAGCGATGTAACGTTTCAAATTAACTGTTAAGAAAGCGGTTAGTTCCTGTAGCTGCGTTCATGTAGAAGCGTGCAGAAATCAAACAGATTTGTATTGGAGTAGCTGCATATATTAAAAAAACGTGTGCAAGCAGCTACAGACTACAGAGGTATATCTATCAGTAGGAACTATTATAATGTTGGTGTTATTTGAGAATAGAACCGAAAATTAATTGTTATTGATCCCGGCGTTATGATGATTATTTATTTATTTGTGGGGAACTTTTGGCCTACAAAGTTATTATGCCTTTCCTGCAGCTCAATTGTTTACATTTTTCTATATTAGAATTCTTAAATTAGTGTCATTATTCCTCTACCGCCTGACATGAGTAACCGGAGCAATATTGTCACTATAGCTTACTTCCCTAAAAGGATACGTTCTAGTGAGCGCAAAATGACTTGCACTGATGGTTGCCGCCACGTACGACAACTTTAAAATGTTCTCTGTTGCGTACAAACGTCCTCAGGTTGCTACTGTACAGAGGTGGGCAGTAGCGCGCTACATGCAGCGGCCGCTACATTTTTAGTAGCGGTAGCGGCGCTACATTTAAGGCAATGTAGCGGTAGCGGTAGCGCCCGCTACATATTTAAGTAGCGATACGAGGTTTTGCCGCTACAGCGCTACCGCTATATTTATAGATAAAGCCTTTAGATTTTGCTTAATAGTATTAAATATTATTTAAAAACCAGCATGATACATACATAATTCAAATTACAGAATAAAACTGTACGACAGATTTCGGTGTAATGTTGTCAACCTCAGCCTGTTACTAGTGTCAACATGTTTGTTGTTACTTGTTAAGTTGTTACCAGTTACCACTTACAGGTATTTTTTCATGTTTCAATTTGCTTATAGTTATTTTTACACGGTTATTTTTATGTTTCACCTTCCCTACATGGATGTCTACTTTAATCTACCAATCTCAAAAATAACCCACATATATACAGTATATACAAATAAAAGACTGATTTTTATATGTATATGTGGATAATTTTTTAGATTGGTAGATTAAAGTACACATCCATGTAGGGAAGGTAAAACATAAAAATAACTGTAACTTTTATTGACTGTGTCTAACCCGCACTAGTTCGGTTAGGTTAGTTGCAATAAAGTTGCATTGATATGTTTTGAAAATGTTTTTTACCATTAAATGTTTATGAGTAAATCCCAATAGCAGAACAATAAATATTTAGAGATTTCCAATAATTTTGGCCATTGTAGCGGCGCTACATTTTACTGTAGCGGTAGCGGTAGCGCTCGCTACAATCTAGTGGGTGTAGCGGTAGCGGTAGCGCCCGCTACATTTAGAGCATGTAGCGGTAGCGGTAACGCCGCTACATTTCAAAGTAGCGCTGCCCAGCTCTGCCTACACTCAATTGTTTACGTATAATTTAAGTTCAAAGTTATGTTCCCGGTGAGTTAAATACGGCAGTAGAGGCCGGGTTAAGATTACTATCGTTTATCGTTAGTATTCACTGTTCGTATTTATCATCCACGAATACAAACATTT